GTCTGGAACCAGCTTCCAAGTGAGGTGGTGCAGGCTCCCATCCTGGGGGTTTTTAAGAGGAGGTTGGATGACCACCTTACTGGGGTCGTTTGACCCCAGTGCTCTTCCTGCCATGGCAGGGGGTCGGACTAGATGATCTGCTCAGGTCCCTTCCGACCCTAGAAACTATGAAACTATGAAACTACTGAAGCACTTGCTCTCTGGCTCTGCTCTTTGACCTTCTCTGCCTGGAGAAGTGAAGCAGATCAAAAAGAGACTGTGCTTTGCCTGTGCCCAATGTGTTGCTTAGCTGTATGTGCTTCTCTCCTGCACTCTCGCTTCTGTATGGCTCTGACGGACAGAAGCAAGAGACTGAGGGACCACAAGCTCTACCCCTCCCTCTTAGCAGCCTGAGCAGTGGTTTTACACTAGCTAGACTGGTTCAGTGACTCATCCGACTAGCAAAGCAACTTTGTCACTTAAGGCTACGACAAGCTTTGGCCTCAAACAAAGGTTTGTATGAAACACAGGCTTGTTATGAGAAGATTATGAAACTGGGTGTACAATTTATTTTCTACCTGCATAGCAAAATCTCTCTCTTTTTCTCTCATGCACATGCACACGTACACCCCTGGAACATCTTGAATAGGGACATTTTAGGTAATTTGACAGTAGTTCTCAGGACAGTGGGACACAATCTAGAAAGTTTATACTGTCCAAGTGAAACAAGAATACATTGTCCTTTTATCCTGGCTAGGAAGAGATATTCAGAAAGCCAAAGGCAGAATCAATCTAAGTTATGCGGTTTTCTGTAAGCGGCATAGTTTAGACTGGTATGGACACAAGCGGCTTCTGGTTTCTTTCATCAGTCCACACGATCATTTTAAAACCATCTCCATATCCTATCTTTTCTTTCACCATTTCTTTCTATTCAGAAGTGTGTCTGGCATGACAGTTGTTTTCTGGCAGTGGTTGATGAAGGTTTGTTTGCATCCCAGTGGACATGTAAGAGTTAGGGTCAGGCTGACATGAATAGAATGCTGCATGGCAATATTTGCAGCTGTGTGCTACTCTCCTGTTGAGCACTGGAGCAGCAGCAATTAAGATTCAGGCCAGTGCCTTTAGAGAATAATGGTCCTGGTTACTTGAAAATATTAGAATAATTCAACTTTCTGCAGTTGCTAAGCAGGAAAAAAAGTAAACAGGGAAGAATAAGTGCAGGGAGTGGTGTTTTTGAACTGGCATAGTCAAGAAGGGCTATCAAAAAAAAAGATCCCTGGAAATCATGTTTGGATGAGTCTTCAATTCCATCTCCCTGCATGGAGCAGGATTTTCCTTCGCAAAAGCCCTTCTAGCTTTAAATCATCTACCCTTGTTCTACTGTGCCAAAGACCTCCCTCAGAGGATAATTTCATCGTTTGTGTGCCCCTGCTGTAGAGATTTGCTTCTAAAGTTCAGGGTATAATTTTTCTCTGTTATGATCCAATCTATTTCTCCAATCTCATTGGCTTCCATTGGAGCTGTTAGTGCTGTTATGCTCAGCATATCCAGCCATAATTAATGCTCACTAGGTTATTCCCAGTCACTGAAAATTCCATCAAATCGCTATTTCCCGTCCTACCAGAAAATCATCCTATTTTCATTTCAGTGGCAACTTGCAATTATATGCATGGATTCACAGGTTTTAAGGCAGAAGGGAACACTCTTTCAATCCATTTTGAACACTTGATCATGGTTTTTCATTGAGTAATTCTGGCAATGGAGGATACTTATTCTTTCTTTCTTTATAAGAGCACATGATAAAGCCCCAAAACTTCTGGTTGTACCAGAGCATGTTTTTTTAGAAAGTTGTTAATAGCTGATTTGAGGTTCTCAACTGATGAGGCATTTACCAGTTCCTGTGATAAGGTGTCCCAAGGATTTGTTGTCCTTGCCATTAACTTGTATTTTCTTTGTAGTTGGAAATCTTTTGACTTCATTTTTCAGCCATTAGATCTTATAATGCCTTGGTCTGTTAGATCAGGGGTGGGCAGCTATTTTGGGCGGAGGGCTGCTTACTGAGTTTTGGCAAGCCATCGAGGGTTGCATGACAGGCAGCCAGGAGCAGATAAATATTCATTTGCTAAAATTTTTAGGGGCCCTGTGGGCCGGATAGAATGGCCTGGTGGGCTGCATCCAGCCTGCAGGCCACATTTTGCCTACCCCTGTGCTAGATGAGAGAGCTCCACTAGTATCAGATATGAGAAAAATTGACTAAATTCAAAGGTCCCAAAGAGTCATAGGACTCTAAATGCAAACAAGGGTGTGAACTTTTCCTCTACCAGCTATTCCTGTTAAGATTTGTGAGTGACACATATTTTTTTCACCACGTTGAAAAGAAATGAAGGGAACAGAACAGGAGGTAGGAGCAGAGTGGGCCTGATCTCTCCCTGCTTCTCTGGAATGGTTTTGGAGAGTGAACTAAATTGGAGGAATTCAACTTTGTAAAGCATATCCAAAAGTTAGCAGGTCATTCCCACTATGCTGTAGCATCAGTAGAGAACTTTGAGTTTCTTCCAGAGGTTTGAATGTGGGAGGAGAGAGGGCTGAATGGCAGGTCTAATGAAAACTAGTCACAGTTCTGTACTGAACTTTTATAGCACATCTCTTGGGTTATGTACTGTATTTTAATATGTGACTTATTGATTTTTAGAACAATGTCACAAAATGCATGATGAACGATGGACAAACAAAATTAAAGTCTTTGCAATTTTTCCTGGACTCTTCCACATCCCTGGTACGTACTGTTTCTCTTGGGTTGAGTGTGCCAGTCATATCCATATCTGTTTCCTTTGGCTAGGGGAGAAGTTGAGCCCATGAAATACTTCAATTGCCTTTCTCTGCTTAATAAGATGTTCATATACAATCAACTTCTTCAGCTTCTTGGCTTAATTTTGGTTCATGGTAAGATATTATTATGCCATGAGGAATATCTGCTCTTGTGCCCCCACGCCCCAACTCCCACCAGCTTTTAATACACTTGGGCTTGAACTAAAAATACTGCATCTAAGCATTCCTGAGGCTCGGGACGAATTGAAATAGTCTCAGTCACAATGGTATGAAACGCTCCTGAAGGGGGGTCAGCCTGAAGTGCTATTGTTCTCCACCAGTCTCTGGCAAGTATGTGGTTCATTGGATACCAATGGCAGCTTGTATAAGTTTAAACCACCTAAAGACTACCTAAAATTATCCTGGGATCAGGCCTGTTGAAAATACCAGAGGAACTAGGGAACCATAATTTCTTCTCATCTCAGTCAGAGCAGATCTCAGTACAGAAGAGAATCTTAGGGCACAAGTCTAAAGCGGCAAGCCAGTTTTCTGAAAGGAAGAAAATGTACTTTGTTACTGTGCAGAATTCCTTCAAGTTCTGACCATGTTGCAACTAAACCCAAGGTCAGAGGGAAGATTGGACCTCTCTCTAACGCTGCAGCAAAGGTGGCTACATGGAGTTCTCCTGTGTGGTCTGCTGCAATTCACACCTTTGTTACATAGGTGCAACCTCTGCAGATGCCAGACTGCAGTATGGCTGTTTGCACCAGGATGGAGCAATGCACTCCAGAAACTCTTCAGGTAGTACTAGAAGTGAAGGAACTACAATCCGTTCTGTTGTATGGACTTGAGGGAAGGGGGTTTGTCTCCTGGCAAGCTGGCAATAGAGCTGTCAGCTAAACAGAGCCTGGGTGCATTCTCATCACAATGGGGAGCCTTTTCTCCAAGTGCAGCGTACTCTCACAGCAAGGATACAGAAAGGGCTTGGCTCCTTGTAGAGTGCTGGCACAAACAGCTCCCTGAAACACTGGCAAGTTTTAAAGTTTTGTCAGATGGGAACAGTGGTGGAGAAAGGAAAAGTGAAAGCAGATGTTTTCCCTTACAGTTTCTTCATATTCATGCAAGAGGGGAAAAAAATAGACAATAAAAATGTCATAATCCCTGATCCCTATGACTTAGAATTACTCCATGAAACCTAGTGTTGTAAATCCTCACTTCCATCTCTGCAGCTGTGGGTTCTGAAGGGGTAGGGCCATTGTGGCACTTGAGGAGTATGTGTTTTCACATGTTTGTGAGTATAATCTGGAGGAGGAAATAATTCTAGAGTTAAAAGCTGTTACACTGCTATAGGATCTGCTGCACGTAGAATTTCTTTGGTGATATATCAGTAAGAGTGTGCTGATAGTGATTAGTGCAATTGGAAATCTTGGGTGTTGTCTATGATTGCAGTGTCTATGATTGCAGTTGTCTATGATCGGCCTCTTGAAGGCTCAGATCAAGTGTAGACACACCTGAACTAGCCTTAAGCAGTTAACAGCATCTCATGTAAGTCTAGCAACCTGTGCTGAGCTCTGTGCTGCCATAGCTAGACTGTTAACAGTCTGTGAGCTAAGCTGGTTGAGTCTACTCAGCTCACTGCAAAGCAGATGACCCTTTATTCTAAATGGCTTTGGTAACAAATGGTAAAAGACTAGATAGATCAAGAAAATTTTGAATTCAGTGAATTCACTTTTCACATCATAAAGCCTGCACACCATATTCTGAATTCAGACACCTAAACAATACTGAAGAGTGCAAGGCAACCATATTCAAGAATATATATGTGAATGCCTGTGTGTCTCAAGTCAGAAAGAAATTTAGACAGAAAGGTTGCTTGCAGACGTTAAAAAAACTGTCCAAAACGGTGCTTTACTTCAAACTTGGTGTGCTCCTGTGCCAAGTCCAACGCGTGCCCAGAAGAGGCGTCATGTTAGTTGGACCTGGCTCACCCAACATCTGTATAAATTGGTCACTTTAGTGGGGGGGTTTTTTAGCACTTTTATCTAATAGCTGATTGAATCAGCTTTAGATAAAAACCCCCAAAAGCCCCACTGAAGCGCCCAATCTATACACATTCTGCAGAGCTGGGTCAAAGTAACATGCTGCTTCTTCCTTTAAAGGGCATTTTTTTAGACATCTGCAAACGGCCAAAATGTCTAGGCCTAGGGAAATCTGTGTTTGTAAAGCACAAGAACTTATAGTGTGATTACACTATAGGAAGCGGAGTGTCTTTCTTGACCATACCTACCTTACATAAACATATTTCCTCACGTACCTGCAATTCAGGTGAGATAGGAAGTAAAAGCAGTCCATAATCTGATAAGAATTATAACAACATACCATTTTCTCTTCTTTGGCTTCTGTAGAGGGAGTTGGGCCTGAGCCACTAGTTTGGTTGTGGATTGGAGTTTTTCCTCAGATACAAAGGTCACTTAGATATCCTAGGGGCCTGTTTTTGATTTCAGGAATACAAGCCAATTAGGGCAAGTATTTTAGTATTCAGTACATGGTATAAGTCACTACTACTACTATTAATCAGTAACTAGGAGCGTAGAATGGATAGAGTAGTGCTGTGTTTCTCAAATTTGGGTAATGTATTCCCATGGATGTGCAGTGAACTTCTAGAAGGTGTGGGAGGGGAAGGAATAGGAAATTGGAAGAGGGGAAAGGAGGAAATGAAAATGGAGGCAAAGGAAGGAAAAAAGAAAACAACAACAACTGTACCATATATTTTGGATTGTTGAATGGGTTACTATGTGGTTGTAGTGACAAAATATTAACTATTCTGCAACAGAATCATAGTACACATGGCTGTGTAAGAAACTTTAAAAAGTTTGGGAACCAGTAGTTTGGGAGCTAGTGGACTGGACATTAGACTGGTATTCAGGAGACTTGAGTTCAGTTTCTAGGTTAGCTATAGACTTTCTTGTGTCCTTAAACAAGCTACTTTACCTAGCATATGTCTCATAGTTTCATAGATTTAGGGTCGGAAGGGACCTAGTAGATCTTCTAGCCCGACCCCCCGCCAGGGCGGAAGAACAACAAAACCCCAAAACAAAAACGGGACTCAAATGAGTCCAGCCAGGTAGGCATCCAGCCTCTTCTTAAAGACCCCCAGGGTAGGGGCCAGCACCACTTCCCTTGGAAGTTGGTTCCAGCTCCTAGCCGCCCTAACTGTGAAGTAGTTTTTGCGGATGTCCAATCTATACCTCCTCTCCATCAACTTGTGCCCATTACTCCTTGTTATGCCAGCGGGCGCTAGGGAAAACAGCGTCTCCCCCAAACCCTTCTGGTCCCCCCTAGTGAGTTTATAGACGGTCTCCCAATGCCATGAGGTGCTATGACATTAAAATCCATTAACAGTTGTACAGTGTTCAGATATTATAGTCACGGGGAGCTGCATAAGTCCCTAGCTAGAATGACTGGCTTTTTAAAAGTAATTTTTATATATATGTCCTAAATTTGGTGATTTGAATTAAAGCTATGGCTGACAGAGCACTTTTGAACATGCTCTGTGGGGCAGGCAAGTGTGCGCATGTGAGAATTCCAGGGGAGACAGATGAGTCTTAGTAGAACTAGGGGCTTTATTGTGCGTGCTTCTGCTTCTGTCCCTACACTAGTATAGTACTTTTAAAGCCATTAATAAAGGCTTTTATTAGTTTGGAAACTGTCCTTGTTCTGCAGAGGCTTTTGTTTGAGAGTGTTTGTTTTCTTCTCCTCCCCTTGATAGGTTTTGTTTTAGGACAGAGTAGAAGGACTCCTCCAGGATTCAAAAATATTCATGCTGCGATGCAAGTACTGGGAGAAGAGAAGAGTTTGCTGTGGCAACCTGATTAGCTGGGGTGAAATGGTGGTGAGAAAGAGAGTAAAAGAGCACAATGTTCTTTTCTTTTTATGGAAAGTGATATATCACTGTAGACCACAGTAATCCAAGGTCTGCTGTTTGCTACTTAGTGATTTGCAGACAGGCTCCATTTGTGCTGCACTGACCATTTATGCAGCTGTGGTGGACCTGGGGATGTCAATTAATCATGATATATGCTATGAGTATACCTTATGCGAGATGAAATCCATCATCCAATTAAGTTTCAATGTATGTAGATGAACTTTATATTGTATGAGTATACATTTGTACTTAATATAGTAGTTCTTACTCTACCTGGGCTGTTATGGGACAGCAAAGAATTTTGGAAACACTGACCAATCCATCCTTGATGGTATTATACCTATTTTAGAGATGGAGAAAATGAAGATTACATTTAAATATTTATAATTTATTTTAATTATTGAGTGCTGTACAGACACAGAAGAAAGTAAAGTCACTGATCCAAAGTGTTATCTGTGTAGACAAGGACAGAAGATGCCAACGTCCATGTCAACCATGATTGATCCAGTAGGCTCACCTTCACTCAGTCAGCCTCATGGTTTCAAGGCTCTCTTGGGATATGTCTCTGCTATAGCCCAGTTGAGCATGTCTGAGCTATCTAATCCAGTTAACTTGAGTAACAACAGCAGTCAAGTTGCAACAGCATGAGATTCAGTTCAGGTTGTACAAGCCCATTAGGGTCCCTAGGTGCATACCTGGGTTGCTAGTCCATAAGGAAGCTTGGGCCACTGCACCTACAGTGCTATGGCTTCCCAGACTTGGGTAGATTGAAACTACCTGTACTGCAGTCACACCTCCTGATTCCAGGAGACATGCCATATAGGAGACATACCATATAGGAGACATACCATAACAATAAATGGCCTCACTTGTTCTTGGTAGTGTTGAGGTGATGATGTAGCCATGATGGTGCAGGAAATATACAAGAGGCAAGAGCTTTTGTGGGTGATATCTAGGGATCTGGGTTTTCCATTCACCATGCAAAAACATGGTAGAACCTGGACTTCCTCATTTTAAGGAGAAAAACCTGGATTTTCTCCTTTAAAAGAGAAAAATGCAAGAAACAGTGGGTTTCCTCTGGCAGAGTTCCAGCCTTCAAGGAGCTGAGGGGAGCGGGAGGAGGGCAGTCAGATAGGGGGTACTATATGCATATGCACATGGCTGCCAGGCAGCTTGGAGAGCAGCTCCCTCAGGTAAGTCTGGCGGGGTGGGGGCAGGGGGAGAAATAAGGCTCCCATAGTGATGGAAGGCTTTGGGGCAGGGCTGGGGCTGCCCAGCCCAGGCAATGCTTGGGGCCCAAGGGCTGGAATATGTGGTTGCAGAGCCTGGGCAGGAAGTGGGATGGGGGCACGGGCGGCTGATCTGGGGGGGTGGAGGAGACTGTTTCCCTGCTGCTATGTGTACACCTTGGGCGGCATGGTGGACACGTGCCCCCCAGATCTGTGTGCAGGCCAGAGAGGGGTGTGGGCTGCCCACTGCCCTGGTGCTCTCTCCCTGGGGCCTCTGCAGCCCAGTCGGCAGGACCTGGTGTAGCAGGGCAAAGTGGGGCCGGGTGGGGAAGTTTGGTACTGTTGCAAAGACCCGTGCTGCCCTAGTGAACTGCCCCTGCCTGCCTGGCAATCTGTGCTGCCACCCCCGCTGCTGCCGGGTGGGCAGGGGGCAACTCGCCACGCGAGATGGAGTTTGCAGCAACGACACTGAGCTTCCCTGCCCAGCCCTGCTCTGCTCTGCTATGTCAGATGCCGCTCACTGGGCCGCAGAGGGCCCAGGGGAAGAGAAGCAGGGCAGGGAGCCCAAGCCGAAGCCTGCAGCAGGCAGCCTGGACCCACCCGCTCCTTGGGCTCTGCTCTGGCCGTGCAGCCTGGTGGGGAGGCAGAGCCGGGCTTCATGCTCTGCTCCACCTCAGCAGCTGTCACCTCCTGTGGGTGACAGCTGGGGCTCAGGTGCTGCTGAGTGCTGGCAGAGGGCTGTGGACCCAGGTCCCCGGTCCCATAGCACTGGCAGCTGGGGGCCCCCTCTGGCAGGGTTGGGGGGTAGGGTGGCCAACATAGAGGACATTCTGGTTTTCTGCTACTCTGTCCTCTACTGATATGAAACCTGATGCCTTTATGTCCTCTATTTTTCTCTTCAAGATATAAAGGCATTTGGTTTCATATCATTCCACGACAGAGGACAACCAGCCTTTGTCCTCTATGATGGCCACCCTATTGGGGGGGGCTGTGGGTGGGGAGTGAAGTTGGCACAAGCAGCGGTTGGGGCCTGTCTGTGCGTGGAGTGAGGGGTTTTGGGGATTTTAATCAGAGAGTTTGTGGGGTTTTTTTAAATCAAACAATTGTGATTTTTTAATAGAGAAAGTTAGGATCCCTGGTGATATCTCTTGTGGAACCAGCTGCACATGGCTAGGACCGACTTAGGCAGGCTTTCAGAGATATCACCAGGGATTCTGTTTTTTTCTGTTTAAAAATTTCAAATACACTGATTAAAAAAAACCAAACTCAAACTCTTGGATTCCTTCCCAAGCTCCAACCCCTTTCTCTCTTAGGAAGGTGGAGGTAGGGGGAGGTGCTGGGTTTTCCATTTGTTGGGATGCAGGGAATAGAGGGGAGGGGCTTGTGAGACTTTCCCTATTATAAGCCAGAGTTCAGTAATTTGATCTATATTTGGGCATCAAAATATACAGTGTGACTTTTTTCCATAGGAGCTGAGCAACTGTAGTGACTTCAACCACAGACTTTTCCCATGCCTTAGATCTCAGTGTAGGTGCTAAAAAAATAGTCTTCTACAGGGACTTCTTAGACCCTGACAGTAGCAGGGGGCAAAAGGGAGCCAGTTTAATTTTCTTCACTATAAGTGGTTCAACTTCTTAGATTTGGTTGGAGGAAGCGGTTGCAAGAGTGGATTTTTTTCCTCTCCCACTGTCTGATGAGTGTGGACTCTGCTCCTGTCCTTGAACTCTGTATACCTCCACCCCACCTATCCCCTTTGGCTGCCAGCTAAGCTATGCTGAGCAGGGGGACAGGCTCTGGGGGAGGACAGTGACAAGATACAGCTGCTAGCTGCTTCTTAGCAACTGTGAGCAGTCCTAGCTACCAGAAGCAAATCTGTCTGGGGCTGGACAGATGGTACTGTACTCTGCATCTTTTCATCTGGCGATGGAACTGCTGCTTCGGTGGGCACCTCTCCACCCTGGATACCTTTTGCAAACAAACCCCGAATGATACGAAATAAGTGGAAAGTCTAGGCTGATGAGAGAATCTGGAATTGGCTGTTGCTACTTGGAATATTTTTGGTGGTGCTTAATGTTGTGCGTCTCCCAAAGCAGTTCAAAAACAGAGACCCAGAGTCAGGGTTCTCTGTTCTCCCTCTTCAGCAACTTGTGCTGGCATTGAGGACGCATAAATTGGTGGGTTTCCCTGTCAGGGTAACCTCCTTGTAGGAGGAGGATTCCTTGACATAAAGCTGATGAAGCAAGCCTACTTTACTTATCTTCCCAAATGCACTGTATAAATTGGGGCAAACAAAGTACTGGACGATGAATGTAGGTGGGGGCCTAGGCTGAACTATGCTCTGTGCTGCTGGAAAGATTCATGAGTTATAGCTCCAAGGGAGTATAAATTAGCCCTGGGACTTCTCTGAGCTATGATGGTTATGGTGCTGGTCCTGGAATCCAAAGGTGACATAAAGTTGCTCCTTTTATGGGAAGATAGAGAATTGTATCCTTCAGCAAAGAGAATTCAAGGTCCCCAAAGGCTTGAAATCACAGTGGACATAATCTATGGAGTGAGAGGTTTGTGGAGGTGTGAGGGGTGGTGGTTAGGTAAGGAAGTGCAGCAGCAGCATCCATAATCATTTGCCATTATTCAAAATGGTCACAGAGGAAATGGAGCAATGACAGTTTTTTTTCCCCACATAATTGGCCCCTTGTAAGAATTCTCTTACATTTTCTGAGCAATTTCTATAGCCCCTATAAAATGTCTACACCGCTTTTTGTTCCTTTTTTTCTACACAAAGGAAATAGAAAGCACCCATGAGACTTTATTGGAAATACTGCATGTATTCTGGGAACCAGAAAGGGAAAAGAGCTAGTTAAAGCAGTGACAATATTGGCACAAGAACAAGCGGGCATAAGTTGCTCACAGATATATATATATGGGAGACAGATAGAGTGTTTCTAGTCATCAGAGGGGTGAGGTTCTGGAACAGACTTCCCATAAAGGTAGTAGGATGATCATCCAGGTAGTTTTAGGGTGGAGCACGATAAACTTATGAAGTAGATTATATGATGTGGTTGCCTGCAATACAACAAGGGCTGGACTCTGACCCAGGAAGTCCCTTCTAGCCTCACATCCTGCATGACCATGAAGCAGATATCAGTGTAAGCCTTTGCCAAATGCTGGTGCAAGAGCAGGCTTATGTTTCATCCACTAGAACACAGGAATGTATTGAGGCATAGTTACGGGATAGAAACTTGGGCTGAGGCAAATTTTTGCATATTCTTGAGGCAGAGAGCCCAAGCAGTCATGACTGATACAGATGTGTGCTGGAGTGTGGCAGCTCTTTTCCATTCTTCACTTCTCTCTCCGAACAGCCCCTTCACTGTCAGGCTAAGGAAGTAAAGGTGTCCTTGGCAGACAGCATCTTAGCCTTTTCTGCTTTGTAGGCAGCATAAGCCTGCAGTATGGGTTTCTGGTGGTTACTTCAGATCGCGGTTTGTTTATTTTTGGAAGAAGCAGAACCAGGAGCTGATCGCTTTGTGGTTGATCATGCTCCCTGGCTGGAATTGGGGAACGTATCTTGCATTTTATGGCTCACTTGTGTCCTAGCACTTGATTGGAACAAAATGTGGTCCCTGCCTCATATCCACTGACGCTGCAGTCAAGCTGTGCGCATTTTGTTCCTGGCTCAGGCTGGGAACAGCCTCTGGGTTTAACCCATAACTTCAAACATCTTTCCGGGTGTGCCTGTCACTTGAAATCCCTCATGTTCCATTATGAACTGCAAATATGCCTAAAAATGTTGGCAAAGTGATTTTAAGCTGCTGATAGAAACCTGAACAGAGCCACTGCCCTTTCGTTTCTGATCTGGCATTTTGTGGCACACCTGCCAAAAATGTTGCCCCCCACTGGTATAGTTCCTGTATAGAATTCTGTCTTTCTGTATGGATGATTCAACAGAGGATGAAGCTGCACTAGTCTGTACTTGTTTCATGGGAAAATGCTATGGTTTACCTTTTTGGCAGTTCATTATTATATGGTATTCAGGACTTAACACATCTTTAGCAGCCAAGCTGTCAGAACTGAATTGCAGAGAGGGATAAAGTGTATATCCAGAGGGGTGGCATCAAGTTTCCTTGCTGCTTGCCAAACAAACAATGTTGCAGCCATGAGTGGTCCAGCTTTGTGTGTATCGGGGTATTTCTTTCTGTTTTCATTGCACAAGGCAGAGAATGAGCTATGGAATGAATAATTCACTTGGGGCCTTCATTCAGCTGTTAATCCAAGGGTGTTTGCCAGTGATCTAATTCTTCCTCGTATCCCTAGGACAATAGGGAGGGTGGTGGATGGCTTGCTAAAGATGAGACGTTACAGCATTTTTATTCTTGCCACATGATGATACATGGCTGCATTGTCTATGAGTAGGTGCTTAGTTAACAATAGCTTTTCTCTGGGGGAATCGTTTTTTTCTTTCTGTTTTCAGTAGTCTCTGTTCTTCTTCAGCCTTTTATGTTGGTTTTTTTTTTTTTTGCTAATTGGGGCATCCTGTTAACTGGAAAGAGAGTATCTTTAATACTGCTGCCCTCTAATGGTGAAGTGTATCTATGACCATTGTTATGTATTATTCAATGAAAAATTCATCTAGCCGGTGAGTTTTCAAGCATTTTTAGAGTACAAGGCACATCTTTTGTAGAAAGTACTGAAGAACAATTTTCTTTCCCTTTTGTGGTACTGAGGACCTCTTTCCTTCCTCACAATGGCACAGATCTCTTCCCTTCCCCCCTCAAGCTTGCCATCAGTTAGCATCCGCATACCAACCGAAGTACAGCAGCTGCCTGTTTGATGTATATTAACAACCTTTTTGTGGAGTTTAGAAGGGTGGACCAAGGAATAAAGTCAGCACCTGGAGCTCAATCAGCACTCAGCTGGCCCCAATAGACTTGCCGACCACCGTTTTGAGATTCACAGCATCTTGGAGAGAATTCAGACAGATCTGTTTGTGAAACACTTTATTGCACTAGCTGAATCACATTGTGTCAACTTCTAGTTTACTACCAGACGTGTACTAATGCCTGCTCTATTCTCAGAAAGCTATCAGTGGCCTGCCCCAGTTGTTGACTTAAAGGGATTATGCTTTTTTCCAAGCAGAGCCCACACAGCTCATTGCTGAAGAGTTTGAGGCTGTTATCTGTGAGTAAGGTACAGCGTGTTACACTGTCCAGAACACTTGCACAAACAGGTTCCGCAGGAACACCCACCAAACAGTAAAGCTTTGAAATGGCCTGAAGGTATACTGACTGATTTGTGGAAGAACAATAGAAAAAGAAAGAGAACTAGAGACATCTGCAGACTTAAAGTTAATGATTGGTAGAGCATGGAAGACGGTAGTGAACTTAGTCCATTCCTCTAGCAATTAATCTAGCATCTCAGTGGGGAACAAAGGTCACATGTTGACAGGGAAAATGGAAGGTGAATTATGGTTAAGGACTGAAGAGGACTTTTTTTCTCTTCTCGTCTGAAAGTTATGAAACTAAATTCTATGGATCTGATTCTAACTTCATTTAGATTCTTCCGACATCTTGACTTCAGTGATACCGCTGCCTTATTTACTCTAATACCAATCAGAACCCGGGCAACTTAATCAACTTTTGGAAAGATTGGGTAGTATTGTTTTCATTGCATATCATGCTCTTTGATGTGCCGTCTTCTACCTCTCTTTCTCTCAGAAAGAACAAATTCAGATGTTTATGTATAAAACCTACTTTAGGCCCAGGTTTATACATTTTGGAGAGTTCAGGCAGAAATCCTGGCCTTGCTGAAAGTCGGTGAGAGTTTTGCCATTGACTTGAACTGCCACAGAATTTCACCCCTAGTGTTTTTGTTGCTTTCAGCTTTCCAGCTGGACTGAAGGGCTGTCACAAGATTCCTAGGCGGAAATAGGAATTTTGAATCTCAAAAGCAAGCTTTTTACTATTGTAAACATTTTTGTGGAAAACGATAAGAAGAATCCCACATCAGCAGAAGTCACATGTTTTGCTAGCTTTGCCTTTAAAGGGGGCGTGGGGGAAATTCTATTTCTGTAAAGACTGGATCCAAAATGAAATGCTACAGATGTGTAGAAACTTATAAGCCTGTGTAAGACTCACCAGGAACAGAAGATTTTTTAAGATCAGAATGGCAAGGTCTAAGACAAGCCTGAAAATGCTGATTAATCAATTTTCCTGTCATCTAATCCAGGCAGCATTTGGCTTGAAAGGAATCCACAGTGTATAATCAACTCATTATAGAAGCCATTTGAATCAATGTTGGGCATGCAGAATGGTGGAATACAATGCTATAAAAGGGATCTTTTTCTGAAGTGCCATTACAGGTTGGTGTCACCTATTGAAATAGGAACCACACGAGTTAAGTCTTTCTACGTACAATCTCATTAAGCATGAAAACACCACTTTTTTTGGGTGGTCTGTGTAAGGGGTGTCACTCAGATTCCCCAGGCCATTCTGGCACAGAAGAGGGAATGTTCAGTTGCTGTTTAATTAATTAATTCTAGACTTGGAAGCCAGGAATATAAACCAACATTTTTTCTTAGTTGTGCTAGACCAGTGAAAACAACAACCTTAAAATATTATGGCCTTTTCTACCCATACAAGTTGCACCAGCCTTAGTTTTGCTTGTGCCTGAAAAATTCAACGGCACAAGATAACTGCTTTGCATCCGCAAAGTTTGCTTTGAAGGTGTGATTTTTTTTTTTTTTTTAATGGAAGGTGTGATTTATAAACCAATATAGTTAGTTTACTTGTATGTCAACCAAACGTAAAGCCTTGTCTTGAGAAAGTTGCACTGGTTTATCTAAATGCTCAAAGTGATGCAAATCTCCTTGTAGACAAGTGTTTTGGTTTAGCTTTAGCTGATTCGGAGCAGGTTTAAAGTTAACTAAAATAAGCCATGCATAACTTGAAATATGAGTGTCTACATAGAGCTTTGTCCTGTTTTAACAAAAATGGTACGAATGTATGTGGAGGGCAGGGCCTTATGCTGGTGCGAGTGTATTGACCTGGGTGTAAATCAAAGTAGAATTTGGCCCAAGGCTCTATCTTTGTGCCCTCACAGAGGCCTTTGAAGGCAGATGTAAAGTCAAAGTTTAATCTCGTTTGGCCTAACCCTGTCCTCTTCACCCTAAAAAAAGAAAAAACAACAGCCCATTGAAGCCAGAGGATTTTCTCTCATGGGGAAGGTGGTGGGGAGAGGAGGGTGGCAGAGTGAAGAGGGCTTGTCCCTTTCTTCTCTTTAAAAAAAGGAAATGCACGTGTCCAGAGCAGTGCTTCGAGAATAATGTGCTTAGCTTAGTCAGAGACCACCAGCAAATGTTTTATAGAGGCTTGCCAAGATTCTGGTGGCCGTAATTAGCTGCACACAAACGGGGCATGAGACGGCCTACTGGCCTTCCCTCACTTTACCCATGGAAGGGGGACGGGTGAGACTTCCCTGCTGCTGTTCAGCTGTTGGTTAACAGAAAAGCTGTTTTCTATTTGGACTCATGCTGGCGCTGGCGGAACAACCCCTTCTGCAGCTGTATCGTGTTACATGCTATTATGCAACACATCCTCTTACCAACAATGACAAGAGCAATGTAAATCATGCAATCTAAAGGCTATAATTAAGAGGGGAAAGTGCATATTTTGCATTCAGAGACCTACGACCAATTCAGATGAGCTGAACTAGCAAATCTCTTGGCATAGTCTTTAATGAGGAAAACTTCTCAAGTAAACTAAACCTTGGCTGCTTTGCCGTGTTGGGCCAGCACAGTGTGGTGTGTTTTGACCACGACTGTCAAGCTTTGATCTTGGGCAGTTGTTTCCTGGCACAACAGGGATAGGAATTACACCTTGAATGTAACAGGTGCACCTGCAGTCTTAGAACTTTATACAGATTTCAAGTGCCCACAATTCAGAGTGCTCTGGATGGCGGTGCTCATTCAGGCCCATCTCAAATGAATGGCGGCCTGGTGATGGGAAGTAGCAGTGCCTCTACTCTTATAAGATTGCTCTAAGACCAATTTGTCCACACAAAAAGATTTCCCAGGCTTGGTGCTGCTCCCCCTATTTCCTCCCCCCCCTTTTTAAGTCTGTTTGTGGCTCCCTGCAGTGTGAAGATATTGTGGATGCTAAATACCGCTTTAGGGGATGTTGAATCCTATGTGAGATTGTGGAGAGGTTTTAAAAGCTTTAGGGGAAGGGGTTTCCCCCTGCTTATTTTATAACCTTAAGATCTGGTATTTCTGTCTTTTTTTTTTTTTTCTCCCTGGGGAATCCAGTGAAATCTATTAGCTGCTCACTCAGTCTTCTTTCAAGGGGCATACTATTGAATACTTAACAAAGCAAGCTTCTCTTTCAGCTGATTGTTAGGTCTTACTTAACCATCAGTTCATTTTAAAACTAAAAGGCCTGATTCTTCTTTAATTCATTCTTTAAGTGTTAACAGATGAAATTCCATGAGTACCAATGGACTTATTTCTGTTTTACACCACGGGGACATCAGCCCTCAGGCCCCCTCTTCCGAGTTTTAAATGAAAATGGCCTCCATTCCCAAGTCAGTCCCATAGTGCTGCTGTTAGTAACTGTGAAATCATGTACCTACCTGCTGCCCCGGGCGGCTTCCAGAAAAAAACAAAACTTCAGTTTTGAATGTAAAATATGGGGAAGACAAGTCAGCAGAAGACTGTGGCCTAGCAGAGTAGGAAGTGCTACTGCTGTTTAAATTCTGATGGTTCCACGCTTCTGTGTTTAATCTAGCATTTCCCCACCCTTTTTCTGCTAGTTTCTTCTTTGCTCTTCAGGTTACCTTCTTGACACACCACTGAAGGCCAAACTGATGAGGGTTACTCTACTTCATTAATGACGCTCACATCTCACCAATTTGTGTACGATGAGCTGTACCTCACCTCACCCCTGAAACAGGACAAGTGGCCAACTTTATCAGAAACATTTTGCAAACCACAGAACTTGGGGATTAAAGATGTACTTGCTTGCAGTTACAGAGGGAATGTGTTATTCTATTGCTGACCCAACAAGCCCTTTCACTCTGCCCTATGTTCATACCTACCCTTGCCATGGGTTTATCTAACTGAAAATTCAGGGAGTTCAGCAAACGAAAGGAGGAAACCTGCATTGTTATCTAGTTAGTACCACCCTTTCTTTGCCTTCACTCAGACTTCCTGCAGTTAAACCCCCATTCTCTTACCCTGATGTAAGGAAGTAGAGGAGACCTCTTGCAATTGGTAACAGCGGTTTGAATGGAGGGGCTAGGTGCAGGATGTTTCTGTTAGCAGGAGAGAGTGACAGTGAGAGTTGGGTGCTTCTTTGATGGAAACCTGTTTATTTACAAAGAAGATACAAAGTCCTGTTTCTCCAAATACAGTACAAATCACAGTTTGCTTACATTTCCAAGGTCTATCTCAGTCAGCATTTAGCCCCAAATCAAGTATCTATCAAGGGGCATATCTAAGGTGTGCAGTGGTACAGTCACACCCACCTTTGATTCCTGGTCCACCTAAAGTCTAAAATCAATTGCCTAGCAGTGGCCAGAGCATTTCTATTTAGGCAACAGTGGGGGAGACAACTGGCTTCAAGGATCGTTATCTAACTGATTCCTTGTAAACTCTTTGTGTTCGAATACTTGTTACGAAACTTTCACAATAAAAACAATGCTGCTGGAACAATTGGCCACACTAAAAATAAAACATGTCGGAGGTGGTTTAATTGATCACGATAAATTGAAATCTACCATGGTAAAAAGATGTCAATATGTATTTTCAGATGTGACTAACCTAGTGAAACAGCAATTTTTGGCACCATTTTGTGACGTGTGTTTAAGCAATGCATAATGCATACAAGCACCCTTTATTCCACAGGTGTTAATGATCCTCTCTGCTTTTTAATAGTTTTGGTTCCATTAATCAGTCTATGCTTTCTTCTGCAATTCTGCTGTCTGTTAGCTGCTCCTGGTAATGTACCTCCTGAACCTTTTCTCAGGTTTATATCCTGGGCTGGGCATGATATTTGCCAGATCTGTGTATAGGGTAGCAGAGAGGAACAGACTCAGGAGTAAGGCCAAGACTCTGTGTCATAGCCTGCTTCCTGGTGTCCCCCTCGCCGTCACAAGGGAGGGAAGTTGAATGCCTCAGTCCTATACAGATTTCTGCCTCTTCTCCACTATCCAAGTTGCACTCAGGTGATAACCCAGGGTGCCAACCACTTCTCTCTGCATAGGAGCCCCCCTACCTTTCACACTGCTCCTTTGGGAACAGGTAGCAATTGCACTTGACCAGAAGGGTACCCTGCTCCCTTGTACTATTCTATACCTGTGCATAGGGTCATCAATAGCTCTTGCAATACAGAAATAAAACTTTTTTGCAGCTGTTCACATAACTGGTGCAGCAACACTGACAGTATTTCCATGGAAAATGGACTTCCCCTGAGGCCTCGTCAAGTGTTTGATACTTCTCTAAAAATTGCATATTTACAGAGTTTGATGCTGACATCACCAACCTAGCAAATTTAGAGGAACGAATTGTATCTCTTGCGAGTGTATTTATGTGTCGACCTCCTCTCCCACCATGTTGATTATGTGACCAGTTTTTCTGTGTTGTCAGGAGCCAGTTTACTCAGATAGTCCTGTTCTTCAGTAGTCCTGACCTCATCCTCATCCCTGTGAAATCTGAATAGTCCTTTTGTCTACAAAGATCAAATTCAAAAGTTCTCTTCTCAAGTGGATTCTTGAAAAAAAAAATGTTTTTCTTGTTGTGTATTTTCTTTAAAGAAAGCTGATTTATGGTTGACACCAGAGAGAATAATACCTCTTTTATTATTATTTTAAGTAGAAACTCCCCCCCGCACTGTTTCAGTGTCCCACTTCCCAGATGAAGCTAGCTATCTTGCCTATTGACATTTCAGGAAAACTAAGTTATTCAGGCAGTTATAGAGTTTTGCTCCAGTTAGAGCTATGAGTTGAGAAGAAAGTACATTTCAGCTTTAAACCCAATTTTAAATAAGGTCTCGCCCACAGGCTCAAATGGTAAGGAAAGAGACTAGATGCAAAATGTTACACAAGAATCATTGCTACGTTTTGAGCTGCTTTTATATAGGCAATGCCTAAGAATTGCTTATTTGTAGAGTGCTACAGGTCTTGTCATGGATGAGGGTGGGGTACAAGCACAGAATAAAGTAGTGTCCTTGCCCTAAACTGCTTACACTTCAGATGTTCTGGCTTAATTAAAATTGATTTAAAAAAAAATTACCGGGCTGAATCGCACAAAACTCTGTGTAGACTTGTTTGTTGTTTGACAACTACTCTGGGGAAGTTAAACAGCTATAAGCTAGCTGTAAACCCACAGAATTGTGTTGACCTGGATTTGTGCTGGTTTAAGCTAACTGGGTTTTTGAACCTATTTCAATTAAAGTGGTGCAACTTCTGGGTATAAAGCTCATTTATTACCTGGTGTAGGGCAGGTATTGACTGAAGTGATGTGAAGTTGTACCAGAACAGAATGATAGCAGTTTGTATCCATTTTGCATAGATGGAGGAGCTGTTGTCAGCCAGAAAATGCTAAGCAGTTTAATCAGCGGGAGCTATGCCAAGGATCTGATTCAGGGCCACTTATCTCAGTGACTGAATATAATGGATGAAAGCCACACCTTGCCTAGTTAAATAGTACACCTAGTGCAGTCCTGTCCAGCAGTGATTGGGTAAGAAATGGCATTTGCTGGCATGTAATTCCAACTGTACAGGCTTTGTTCTGAGGCCTCACGCTGCAAGCTCGGGACACAAGCAAAGGGTGTGGTAATGTTATCCTGCTTCATAAGTAGCCTTCCTCATGGCCTTGCTACATTGCTGGAGTCTGCACGGTGGTGAGAGCAGTGGCTACTGTTCTTCTAGCCTTTGACAGCCTGTGCCCTGGAGCCAGTTGAGAGAGGGAAGTAATCTGTACCAGCAGAACAGCTAGCACAATCACTTTCCCCTGAAGGAAGGAAGAACTGGATTGGGGCTCTGAGTCACAAACTGGTTCTTGCTCTTGGGGCAGCCCAGCTACGTGCTGCACCTAACATTTCAGCCTTTCCAATTGCTCCATACAGCTATTACAGTATCCAGCCTCTTTTCTAGAGCATCATTCGACTATGGCTCCGAAAATAGGTTACTAATATTAAAGTGAAACTGATTGGAGCACTGGAACAAGACTCAGGAGCCTGGAGATCTGATCTCATCTCTGTTGCTGGCCTGTTGAGTGAGCCATGCCTCTGTTTCCCTTCCAGTAAAATGGGACCTCTTTTGAGGTTTAAAAATGAATTAACAGTGTATAAGAATGAGGTGTTATTTATTAATTATGATGGTGTTAGTAACTTAAATAAATGATGAGAAACAAGCTAGATATCTAAAAATGAGGCAGTTCACTTTTTGTATTGCTCTTGACATGGCTAGAATACTTTTGGATTCTCATGCACTAGTTCAAAGTGCAATGCTATAATACTTGTGGTGAAAACATTGCACAGAATTATTCAGAAGTGAGCTGTCTGTGTCAGAATAGGGATTGTGCCCTTCTCTGGAGCATTAGGATGTAGAAAACTGGCCCAGAATGTAACTGTTTTAGACACATGTGAAATGGAGACAGAGAAAGTTTTGGAAGACTCCATCGTGATTGTTAAGCCTGTGTAATGATGCTTGCAAGGGGCAGGAGAATGAAAGACAGTTGGGCAATTAAAGGAACAATACTTTACAGTGTAGTCCATTTTAATTAAAATGATTTAGCTCCAATGCTAATCAACCTTTTGAGGGAAGAGATTGGAAACATGCATCCTTTGTTTGAGGAGTTAGCGCTCTCTGGATCTGGTTATACCATATTAATGGAGGCTCTCGAGGGCACCTCTGAGAAGTAAAGCCTGTGCCAAGTCCAGAAAAGAGGCAGTGAAGCTGTCTTGGTGTCTTCCTCTGCTGCCACTCTCAAGTTCTCCATCTCCAGTGTGCTGGACAGTGGTGGAGGAGTGCCACCCCCTTGATGGATTTGCTGCCTCATTTCTGAGTGATGCAGGAGGGGGCAGATAGGTTTGTGCTTCGTGGCAGTACACTCAGCAGCACCAAGCAGTGTAAACCAGCCTGATGCATCCTTCAGCAACATCAGGGCTGAGCTGGCTCCAAAGTAACATATTTACTCATATAAAATATGACCCTGATTATAAGATAACCTCCCCCGCAATAACTAAGGGAAAAGGGTACAAGCCTAATTTTCTTATTAATCCCCCTCCTCTCTTCCTTCCTTCCCCCTTTCTTTTAAACCATCTTTTTCATCAATATACTCAATGCTGATCTGAACTGTGAATCATTGTTCAGTTTTTTTTATTTGGTTAAGGGAAGCAGACTAGAGGCCAGGGAAGTTTGAATAAGCCCCTCTGCCTTCTCTGTGAAACTGTTCTCCACAACTGCCAGTATTTTGGGCCTAACCTGTCTCATCTTGTCTCTAGCTAAATAAGTGTCATGACAACCCTGTGTAGAAAGGAGTGGACATACAGGGATTGTTTCATCTACCCCGAAGTACAGCCACCCTGGAGTAGTTTACAGCAGCTGTTAATAGGAGACAGCAACAACTAATGGTTGAATCAGAGCTGTTATTGCTCCTTTTCCCAAGACCTGAAGCTAGTGTGTGGATTCCTCTTATCATTTCAATGAATGTTGGATCAGGCCCTAATGCACTGAAATTAAATTGCAAATGGTTAAACTTCATTTAAACAGAGGGCTGGGGGCCAAGGAGAACCTGCTGGGTAGAGGTAAGCTCCTTTATGGAACTAGTTCGCTGGAACAATACCAGCCACCATCCAAGAACAGCTACATGTCACATCCCAAAATTAAAGGCACAGGCAAAGTCAGAAGGGATTCAGGGGACTCGTGTTTTGTGGACATGTGTGTTTTTGTGCAAGAGACAAGAAACAGAGAAGCAAGGAGGAGAAAGGGGCAGAGGAGAAGCTTGCCTTCTGAAAAAGCATGGGGGAATTTTGGCTGAGGACTGACTGAAATAAGGGGCTTGGCTCTGTGAGCAGGGAGACTGTCTTTTGTTGCTTGATCATGACTGTGCTCAGGGATGGCAGAATTTAGGAGATGCTCTGCAAAAGGCAAAAGGCGAGAGAATTAAAAGGAATAACTGAACCCACCTGCAATTTCTCCGCTGAATGGAAAGAACTCAGAACACCCCTGATTTTTTCGAAGTGTTCAGGTAACACTCGCCCAAATTCGCTGTGTGTTGGAATTTGGCTTGGACACCCTGGGCAGAGGGAGACATTTACAAGCTGTGTTAGCAAGAAAAAGCTTAATGTTGTGTATATTGGTGATATTTAAGATAATTAATAGCATAATAGCATGAATCTGAGGCTCTGATAATCGAGATTAATACCTCACTGGAATGTGTCTAAAGTTTCCTTGGGGACCCTATTGTGCTGTTGCACTTCAGTATGTATGCAGTGATACTGCATACTGGTAATTTGTGTTACCATGACACAGAAGGAGAGAAAGAGGCTAGGGCTCAGGAAGAACAACTCACCACAAGGACTTTTAAAGAGATGAAAATGCATACATTGATATCTTCTGTGACTCGTATAACATCTGCTTTGCTATGTGAAAAGAGCAAACTGAGTACTTGTGGAGATATTTAAAACATTTCAGCTTGAAAGGAGTGACAGTGTGTCTCTTGTAGATTTGTTCAGTCCTGGAAAACAGTGATGGGTTTCCATTCTGTGCCTTGAACTTCTGCTTGTCTCAGTTGCATTACCAGGTGGATTTGAGAGAACTAGTTGATCTCATATTTCTTCCCATTGATTTATGGCTTCTAAGCAACATGTACATGAAGTCAAAAAATACATTAACCATTCTCAAACATCTTTACAGATAAGAAATAACTATCCTGGTTATCAGGATACTGGCACATTGTGGATGGAGTGGGGCTCATGAAATGTTGAGTGGGAGAGAAGATCTTCAAGACAGTCAACTACCAGAATGTGGCTGATACTATGAAACGACCTGACAGTTTAGGTGCAGGTGATTTCAAGATCCCTTTTTTAAACGTATTGAATTTGCAAGGTTGTGCTTCACTGGAGTGTGATAACATTTAAGTTGTTAACTGAACAGCTGTTTAAAACGCTTCACTTCATGGAACATTTCATCTCGCCTTTCTCATGCATTGACTTGCAGAGAGTGTTGTGCACTGGAGAGGTGGTGGAAAACAAGGCTAAGGGCAAAGTGTGGAGGGTTAACAGTGTTAATACAGCATCATTCTTGTATTTGCTTGGATGAGAGAAATACGTATTACATCAGATGAAACATCTCATTCTGAATTAGGAAGTTCTTAGAAGTCTGGGTGGGAGACACTACAGCTATGCTGGAGTTATTGTGCTGCTAAAAGCTTCCTGCTTCCTTATTAGAATTTGTGAAGTGGTGACTCCCTTTCACAATTCTCAAGTTGGGTATCTAGAGAAAAAAATAATTTCATAGACTCATGGTGACTTGTAGCAGGTTAATACTGCCACCGATTGGCTAAAGCAAGATGGCACACAAACCGGGTGCTAACCAGAGAAGACCAGTGAATGACTCTGGATGTGGTTCCCTACATTCCACAAATCTGTTTTTTCCCTACCCATATCAAATAAACAGCCTATGAAATGACAGCCAATCAAAATGTTTCATTTCCATACAATCAAAACTTTTTGTTCCAGATATGATATTTAAAATGTTTATGCTATAAAAGATTTAAACCAAAAAACCCTCCTTTTAAAGTAAAAATTCTAAACGTTCTGTTTCAAAAACGCAGCAGCAGAATATTTTGACACTATTGAAATGCTTCACATCTTTGGAGATATTTGATATCAGATATCACATCCATTTTAAATGGAAATTCACCAGAATGTATACATCTCTCTTACACCTTTCAATTTGAACAAATCAACATTTTCTGACAGAAGGATATTCCACTGGAAAATTCTGGGCTAGCTTCAGAGGTGATTTTTGTATCTCAGTGCAAAGAGAAGCCTACAGCTTGCTTATCTTACCATGAGCATCTCCCTACCCAGAACACTGTAAAAGGTGCCTGTGGTCAGTCAGTTATCATTTCATCCCCTGCCCCATGCTCCTTTCCTGCTGGAAAACAAATAGACATAAACTACTGTGGGACTGAGAACCCCAGTGCCTTGGACACAAGAGTGAAAAAAGGAGAGGAAATCATTTTGGAGGGAGTTGGCAGAATGCATTTTCAGAGGGCCGGCAAATGTGATATAGCTGCCAAGGGGAGGCAGAGTTCCTTCTTTAAAGGTTCTGGTTGGAGCTGTAGTTGCAGCTCCATTTAAACTGCTGATGTTGCATTTGATCCCACATGCTTGAACAGAATACCTTTAAGATTTCTTGAGTCTGAATAGGTTGAGTACCATCTTTTTCTTTGATATACTTTCTGTGCGTAGACTATGTCATCCTTTCATGAAAGTGGGACCTTCCAGTCTAGCTAGCTTAGGTTCACAGGACCAGAGCAGACACCCTAGATCACCTTCACTGCATGCCCTTTTCCAGGTCTCTAGCCATGTAGAAACTCTAGTTTACAGTTTACCTCCCCACCAGCCTACAATACTTAAAAAACTAAATAAAGATTTTGCAAAAGTTCCAAGAAACAGCTACTCTATTTCAACCATCACAAGGCATGCACTTATCACACAACTGGACAAAACTGTACACATACCTTTTCATCTCTGTTTCCTTAACAAGAGGATCGGGGTGGTCAACCTGCACCACATGACCAAAGTGGCGCAGACAGCCTATGTCTGTGACACTGTAAGGTCCCGTGGTGTTTGCTAGTACGCCTAGCTCTTATGGACCTCTCAGGTCTCACCATCTTGTTCACAGACAGCCTATGTCTGTGACACTGTAAGGTCCTGTGGTGTTTGCTAGTATGCCTAGCTCTTATGGACCTCTCAGGTCTCACCATCTTGTTGGGATCTGGATAGGTTGGTGTTAAAGTATTTGTCTTGGAAGGCCTTCAGGGGGTTCTCTCCTACCATGTCTTTGGAAAAATAAATATGTTATCGGGAGTAAGAAGTTATGTCTTGCTTTCTCTGGGACCCTCCTTAATTTTCCTTGTCCAGTTTCCCAGTTCAGGGCTCCGCCTCCCTTACACCCCACCTTACGCCAACCTTAAGTTGTTATCTTCTGCTAACCTCTAAGGTGAGCCACGGTGGTAATTTTTGTCTTAGCTTTTTTACCTTAAAAGAAGAGGATGTGGACCTCACTTGGCCTGAGCTCCAGGTTGTAGTGGAAATTGACTTATGGTCCTTGCTGTCCCTGGGTTACCTTGTTTCCAGGGATGTCTCTGTTTCTCAGTTATGTCACTACTGTGGTCTGGACTCTCAGCTCTTTCTTCCCATTTGCAGGGTCCCTGGCAGACCAGTCGCATCTGGAGGCATCCGGGATCCACGACTCGGCTTTAGGTCGGTACCTTAGCCCTTGCGGCCTTGTCTCTTCTCCAGATGCCCCCTCCTGGTGCAGCCACCACTGCTCCTCTCTGGAGCTGTCTCCTCCTCGGGGCGTTTCTGGGCCCACTGGAAGCCTCACTTCTGGTCCTCCTGGCTCAGCTCCTGGCGGAGCTTTTATCTGTGCCTTAAGGGGCTGGGTAGTGAATTGGTGCTGGCATGCCGCCATAAAGCAGGTCCATGCCAGGGCTAGAGCTGATCCTGGCTCTTCTTGGACCTGTTGTTCTTTTTTTTTTCTCTTTTGTTGCTGCAGCGTTTTTCTCCACCACGGTTTCACTCGTGCTGGGCTTCCAGTTTTTGTCTGCGTCCCGCTGGCTCGGGAGCTCTTTCTTTTGGGGTAAGTTTTCCCTTGGGGCATTGCCCCTATCACAGACACTCAGCTTACCAGGGAGGGGGCAGGCAGCACAGTGGCAGAGAGGACAGAAAGCAGAGCAGCAGATGGCAAAAGGAGCAGAGGCAAGAAGCAAAAAGCAGAACAACAGATTAGGACTGAAAGCAGAGCACAGACTGGTAGTTTAGGCAGGGGCAGTGGATCAGAGTGGCACTCAGGGGTGTGTGTGGGGGGGTGGGGCTTACTT